CCCCCCCCCTTTTTTTTTATTTTTCTTTATTTTATTTTCCGTGTTGTTTTTACTTTGGGGGGAAGAACGAAAGGGAATGGGGATGGGAAGGGGAACGGAGTGCAGACCTTGAGAGAAGGATCGAGCGAGAGGAAACACGGGACTCTGGCAATCTGGCGTTTAGGGTACAGGGGAAAGAAAGGGGGCAATGGAGGAACTGCTGATTTGGACCTGGAACCTCCTCGATCCAGCTTCGCGGTGCCGGCATGGGGGGGATGTCGTTGTTTTATATAACCCCCCCGGGTCTGGTGACTGCGACGCTATTGCATTGGCTGTTTTGTCCTCTTTTGGACGGAGAGAAATAAAACGGTGCTTTTTGTTCGTTCAACTATATTGTGAAGTCTGTGGTCGTGTCGTGGTGGTGGTGGTGGTGGTGTGGTAGTCAGGGGTCATATCGTCGAGGAAAAAGGGGTATCATTCCACACTCGACAACGTCCAAGCTATTCACTCTATATGCTCCTGCAGGCTTCAGGGGTAAGTATAGCATGCCTCCCCTCTACCATACGTCTAAACGCCACTCCACTTGCCAAACTGCGTATACCGCTTGAACATCTCCCTCAAGATGGCCCGTCCACTCGCATCCATAGCATCGTTCAAGATCTTCCTCACCGGCGGCGGCGTCACGTCGAAGATGCTATACATCCCCGGCTCCAGCGCCTCCTGCACGTCGCGCGGGATATCTAGCTCCAGCTGCAGCTTGACGTACTGCACCAGCAGGAGATACACGTGCCGGCCCGCGACCCTCTTCGCCGCGTCGGTCGCGGAGTCCAGCGCCCCGACGTACTGTGCCCGGGACACGGATGCGGCGGAGGGTTCGGTGACGAGGGTTACGAGGCGGGTGTACATTGCTGCGTGCTTTGCGTTGAGGAGCGAGCCATTGTTGTTGTTGTTGTTGCTGCTGTTGTTGCTGCTGTTGTTGCTACGGTTGTGGTTCGCGGCGGTGGTGTTGCCCCTGGACCGACGGCTCGTGTTATGCACCAAGGCGCGGAGGAGCGATTCCAGGGCCGTGAGGAGGATGTGGTAGTGGTCGTCCAGCCGTAGTCGGTGTCTCCTGATGACGATGCTGGCTAGCTTGCAGAGGCTCGTGAAGACGGCGGCCGACGAGGTTAGGTGGACTTTTGCCCGGTTGGCGGCCACGACGGAGATCGCGCTCATGGTTGTTTCAATGTTCCACTGGCTCATGGAGGTTGCTTTCGTGTCGAGGAGTGAGTGCAAGACTTCGGCGCAGCGGGAGAACTCCCTGGGGGTCCTTGTCTCGGCGAGGTACTTTGTCAGCCTGCTGTGGGCTGTAGCTAGATCGAAGGAGGTTGAGGTTTCGGAAGACTTGGGGTCGTCTGTTCTCAGGTTAGCCACTGCCTTCTTGTTTCTTTTTCTGAGCATGAAGCGCATAGACTTACCATCCATTTGGCTGACGATACGGCGAATGGCTAGCAAGTGGCCATCCGCCACCGGCGCGGTGCGCATCACCTCGATCAGCTTTTCGATATACTGCAGTCGTTGAGCATGATCGAGGTTGGCAACGATGGCGTCAACGCAAGCCTCCAGGGTCTCCTGGGGGTTAGTCGCCCCAACGGGATCAGGCACCTCGTCACCCTCCTCGGCAGAGACACCACCCCCTTCCCGGTCGAGGTCAAATAGCTTGTCAAAATCCGTCGGCCGGGGTTGGCCCAGATAGCCAGGGAAATTCTTGATCAAGAAAGTCCGGAGTCTCCAGCCCCTGAGGTGTCCCCTCGAGATGCTCTGTTGACTGGCCGCCTCCAACTCTGCTGTAACCTCGGGTTCGATGGTCTTCCGGAGCAGTTCCGGAGTCAAGGTCTCCGAGGCGTCAACGGCGAGGAGAAGATCGTTGATCTGCGCCTTCTTCTGCGTGTTGTTCTCGTTGGAAGACCGCCAGCCGCCAGCATAGTCGTCGAGAGGCCGCTTGACCATCTGGGCTAGCCGTAGCTGCACGGCATCAGGACGGACCGGGGCCTCATCTCCCGTAAAGTGTGGCGATGACGATACCACCGAGACGAGGGCCTTGAAGATGGGAATGTGGAGAGCGCTCTGCGCGTCGCCGTCCGTCGCGTCAGCGTCCAAGACGTATCGCTTCGCTTTGGTGAAATACGCCGAGCCCCATTCGTCAAAGTGGTCGTTCATCTGGCGCAACGTCGCAAGGGAGACGTCGTGAACAAGTCGGCCCATTCCCAGGGTCTGGATCGAGCGAGAGTGAGAAACGGACGAAGCGACACTGCTCGCAAGCGATGTGAGGTGTTTGAAAGCCATCCCGGAGTAGAACGTTGGCCGTCTCATCACCTTGACCATCAGTCCCAGGACCAAAGCCCAGGTGGACGGCGATACCGCAGCCTTCGCTTTCATCTTGCGCCTCTGTCCATGCAGTGTTTCCATGATGCGCTCCCTCTGCTGCCTGGATAGCAGTTCGTCCGGCACACCGGTTAGCGACCTCAGCGCGGCCCTGGGCCGGGCATCGTCCCAGCCGGCCGATTTCGACTGGAATTCCAGCGTGTCGATGACATAGTCCACGACTTTGCCGATAAACTCCGTCTCGTGATGGGTGGTCTCGTTGGCAAAGACGGCGTTCAGAGCACTGGTCAAGCGCTCACCAGAATAAGAAGAAGAAGAAGAAGAAGAGGCGTCATGGGCTGGAGGGATGGCGAGGATGCGCTGCAGGAATGTCGGGAGGGAAGAGGACTTTCTGGAAAGCAGTGGCAATAGCCGAGACGCCGCTCCCAGAGAGAAATCCACATACGATGCCGCTGCGGGCTGGGAATCGTCAAGCGGAGGCTTTTGCCGCCACCGCGTTTGTGCCTTTGAGGGATCCCATGAACCTCCCGGAGAACTGGGGTCGACTGACTGGACGTATTCTGCCAGACGCTCCGAGAACGAAGCAAGCAGATCCGAGAGACTGGGCTCATTGGGACCATCCGGGTAAGACGCCAGCCATATCGTCGTCGCACATTGGAAGGCTCGAAAGGTATCGGGGTGATCGAGCGGCTGTTTCGACAAGACCCTTTTCAGCTCGGGGCTGATAAGCGTCTGCATCTTGTTCGCGCTCGCGAAATCGGCCCACGACACGGTCTTGGCCAGGATGGGCCATCGCAAAGACTGGAGATCGCCCTGTAAATGCGCCGACGACCATACCGTCTCAACAAGGTCGAAAATCTTGGGCCCGACGACGTCGGAGAAGTCCTCGTCGGTGGCGGAGGATGCGATGGTATCGAGGAAAATCAACTTGGCTTCAGGAACGCCGTCTCCCTGCTCCTTGACCCATTGCAGAACGTTCAGCAACTGTTTGGGCGTCATGGACGACGTCTTGATGAGGTGGGTGAGACGAGAATTCCGATGAACCGCGTCCGTGAACCAAACCGGTCGCTTCTCCGGTTGTAGAACCAGCGAACGGTCACATTGGGTTAGCTGGGTATACCATCTCTTGAGGAACCCGGGCAGGTCGCGGGCCTTCTCGAAACCGCCAATGATGGCGTCTAGGAACTGCTTTACAGCTTCTTCGTCGGCCTGGGCTCGTATGGTGCCGCTGCGATCTTGCGAGAGCCGTTCCGCAACCGTAGCAAAGAGGCGTTCCCCCTTGTCCGTCAAGAGGAAGGCATCCGGGTCGCATTGTGCGATGAGCGAGAGGAGCTGCCAGCCCGTGGCGTCGTCATCGCCGAGAGCATGCGCATCGCAGATGGACCGCAAGTCTTGGAGCCGAATCTGAGAACCGGTCGCGATGGCATCCTGCAGTAGTATCCTCACCAGGGAAGACGTGAGCTGCGGCGGCTCGAGTTTGTTCAACCGCCGATACGCCAGCTTGAAGGTCTCCTCCGTCCATTCCCCTTCCGCTTTGGAGGCGGTGACCCCGCCAAAGATGCGAGGGGCCCTCGTTGCCAGGCGGAAGAAAACGGGGACGGAAACCGCGGAGATGGCTTTGGAGACGTCGATGGCAGTCGTGGGGATCTCCAAGTCGCGCCGGTTCAAGAAGGCCGACTTGGCCGGTAGCATGAGGTTGCGATGCATGAACGACTCTAGCTGTTCGGCCCATGTGGCCTTGACCCGGTCGTCCAGCGATGGGTGCGCGTCCTGTGCCAGGCCGACGAGTTTCCCCAGCAGCCCGAACCCGGGACGCGATAGGAACATGGCCGCCTCGAGGGCATCGGCGTGGCCCTGCAGCCGGAGATTCCACACCGTCGAGAGGGTCTGGATCCACGTCCTCTGGGACTCGGTCAAGTCGAGATGGCTCGTCGTCGCCGTCGTCGAAAGGTCGCACAGGGTCAGGACAGGCGCGAGGTATGTCACCATCTCGCTTGCCGGTTGTGAGAAGAGCGCCTTGATGTGTTCTGCGCCCATCTTTTCGTTCAAGCCAAGTGACGACGTGTGGTCCAGTCTGTCCAGGAGCACCCGGAGTGCATCCAATATGGCTTCCCCGGTGGCAATGCATCCCTCTCGGCTCTTCAAGCTATCGAGTTGAAATGTGTAGGTGGGTGTCCGTTTCCTCTTGTTACTCGACTCGGAGGTTCGGGAACTGTCCTCGTTGGGCTTGGCGACGGCCACGAGCGTCTGTTGCAAAATAGCCATGAACTTGCGATCGGCTAGGGACTTGGCCAGGGAGAAGAGGGGGATGCGCTGAAATGTGCAGCCTAGGATGCGCCACGTCAAGGGGAAGCGGCGTAGGGTCTCGGCGGTGTCGTTGTTCGGTTTCATGGATTTGAGGAGCCATCGTAGGACGCTTTCCTCGGCGGCAAAGTAGTTGCTCGAGCTGATGGAGGTCAAAAGAGTCCATATACTCTCGAGGTGTTGGCCTTGGTCTCCCGGTCCCGTCTGGTCGAGCGAACGAATAGCTTTGATGAGATCTCTTTCACGAGACTGCAGGAGAAATTCCATGGACAGTATCAGCACAGGCTTCATAAGGGCGTATGAGGAGGGAGGGAGGAGAGCCATGGACACTCACTTCACTATGTGCTTCGTCACTATCCACATCCATCATGATCGTATCCATGACTGCGAATGTCAATTGATTTTTTTTTTCTTCTTTTTTATTTATCGTACGCTTCCCCGTACTATTTCCTGGTAATTTATTTGTTTATTTCTGTTTGAAGCTCCCCCGCGACTTTTATCAGAAGCAGAAAGATGCAGCTCCAAAAAACTCGGGGATTCTGCCGCCCCACTCTTCCCGAAACGGTCACCTTGCCTCTTGACCGCCTTCGGGTGATCCAGCTAACGATTTCCCGTCTCAGGCCGAAAACAACATCACCAGTTCGTTCCTCAAGAGCAACCCCAAGCACACCATATCCCCGTGGAAATAGTGTCGCCTTTGTGAGCCCAACCATCCTACGGTCTATCAACGAACCCAATTGGCCCACTGACAGAATACCAGGCAGCACCAGAACCATGTCTGACACCGCTGTTTCCTCTCGCCAGAGCGCCGTCTCGCGGCCCGTCAGTGAGGCACTTCTCAACGAGAAGGTACTAATCATGACGTCGACCGTCGACCGTCGACTTTTTCCCGCGCCATACCACCCCTGCTTTGAGAAACACGAAGCACACTATACTGCAATCACGCACCGGACGGCTAACCAAAGCTTCTCATAGTGGGATCGCTGCCTCTCGAACCTCATCGTCAAGTCCTCCCTCGGCCTCGGATTCGGCGTCGTCTTCTCAGTCCTGCTGTTCAAGCGGAGGGCATGGCCCGCCTTCGTCGGCGTCGGGTTTGGAGCGGGTCGGGCGTATGAGGAGTGCAACTGGAGCTTGAGGCAGGCGGCGAAGGATCTGAAGAAACAGTCTTAATCGACCCTATTCCCAACACCAGACTCCACTGTTGGAGGGGAGGAACGCTGTGTTGGCGACCTGGCGCCCCAATGGAGAGGACAAGTCTCTGGTGAAGACACCTTGTATACCAACTCACACAACTTGCCCCGTCCGAGAGAGCGAAACGAGGAAGAAACCTCAGTAAGGACGAAGCCCCCGGTCCGGCCGCCTGGAGGCTACCTGGGATATGGATTTGGTTCGCGATATCAGATTAGGGAAGAGACGAAACGCTGGAATATATTTTTCTTTGTTCATCAGCTCTGTCACTGTTGGCACACTGACGTGTTGTCACTCCCAGTGTTTGATCCATGTTGGGGATTCTACTGTCCTAGGAAGTGCCCAAAGTCACTGGAAGCGCTGATCCGAGAGCATACATTTTCAGTCATGCCGTTGAACCGTTGGACATGGAAATATTCTCAGGCTTGGTTTGACACATTCCTCAGCCCTGGTATTCTGCCAACACTTCTCGACGACCACTCACGCTTGGACTGACTTTGAAGGAGCTTCTTCGCCACGAGCCACTCGGTATTCCACGGAGGGGCAGCCAGATGAGGAACTGGGTTAATAGTTGGGTCTTGTTGCAAAACAACAGGGAGATTGGGATGAGGCATTAGGGGTTGGACCCCTCTTGCCATTCCGGGTCTCTAAGGTATAAGTCGAGCTACCTCGCAGACACACTGATAGGTGCCTTATATTCTGCGAACCACATGTATTCCCCAAAAAAACAAAACGGTAGTTCAATCACGAGGTAACAGGATTGTATTGGTTTTCGAAACGGCCTCCAATGCCGAGTGATTCGCTCAAGATTTCGTAGGGCTCTGTTCATACCAAGACTTTATAGAACGACTCCCAATGGAAGGAAGACTTGACTAGAATAAGGACCTTGGGGAACTTGTTACAAATACTTTTACCATGATTGCCATTTTATTGTCATTGTTGCTGGAGAAGTCGAGAATCCAAGACGTGCAGAGTACCTAGGTACGAGAGGCATTCCAATCACCTCACATTCATTGGTCAGCCTAGGGAGTCGGGATGACTAATACAAAGTTCAACCAGCCGATCCGAGCCGCCACCTCCGAAACCGAGGGCCTTACATCACTCGTAATTTTCCGTCTCCCTCCTCTATCGACTCTTAACCCACAACATCACACACACCACACACGTATACACCATGCCACTGCAATAATGCCATCCTTACGCTGCCTAAACGCCCCCTCCGGCGCTCGCCTTTTCGTGCAACTCGCCAGCACAGACAAGCGACCTATCTCTCTGCCCACAAACCCGACAACGAGCCTCCCCCCGATCCTCGACATCCTCGTCCCGCGATGGACTAGTCACTCGCCATCCCCGCAAACGAGGGGGCGAGCGCAATTCAGCACAGCTGCTGCTACCGACTCTGACGCTACTTCTTCCACCCGCTCCGTGTCCCGCGCCCTGCCGTCGGTGATTGCGCACCCGAGACAACTCGTACAGCGTACCCCGTGGTCATCGGGATACCAGCCGCGAACCAGGAAAAGCCTCACCGCATCGCAGCGACGGACTTTCGCCTCTGCGGCACCCCTGGGCCATACCCGCTGCGTCTACAACCCGCAGGAAGACGAGGATGGGAAAGCAATGAGCATGGGAATCACAGACAGGGCTGGCAAGGTACAGTTGGTCTTTTTTTTTTTTCTTTTTTTTTTCTGTTTCTTCCTCCCACTAGCAATGTTGTACTCTGATCGTCGTCATTTCCTTGTCCTGCCCCAGGCCTTTTGCTGACAAATATGTTTTTTTCCACCCCTCACTACAGCGCCTTTCCCAAATCATGGCCAAGGACGCGAACCCGAACCTCGCCCTCCGCATCCAAGTCGAGAGCGGCGGGTGCCACGGCTTCCAGTACCTCATGAGCCTCATCACCCTCCCCGACCCGGACAGCCCCGACTGGTCGTCCGTCGTGCGGGAAGACGACAGCATCTTCCAGTATGCCCCTGACGCGGAGCCGCAGCCCGCCCCGACGACCCCGACCCGGGGCGCGCCCAAGATCATCCTCGACCAGCCGTCGCTGGAGCTGCTCAAGGATAGCAAGGTGGACTTCACCATGGAGTTGATCGGGTCGCAGTTCAAGATTACGGATAACCCGCATGCCACGAGCGCGTGCGGCTGTGGGACGAGTTTCGACATTAAGCTATAATGGGTATCGAGTGTACTGTATTTATACATCCTCCTCCGCATAGATTATTTCACGTCAAGCAGAAAACGAAGCATTGTTTCATCGATGGAACGAACACACGGGAGAAAATAATATATGGAGCCAGGGCACAGAGAGACGATTCGATTGGGAATCCGAGATGAAGGTCATTGAATGATCAAATTCACATAAAGCCCGTGTTTTTGTCATCGTATCAAAACGCCATGCCACCATGCATCATGAAAAATCCCCAAATGGTATTTGTTGTTTCGTTCGTCCTACGAAAGCCCAAGCCAACCAGACACCGATCCCAAGCGGAACGCTCTCTCCCCACCCTTTTTTTAGTTTGTTCTTCTAGTTCATCTGGCGGATGAGAGCGTTGATCTTTTCCTCACGGTTGCCGAGATCACCACCCTCAATGAAGTGCTTGAACTTGCGGGTGCGGAAGCCGCCAGTGGGGTTGCTGAGCTTGAAGGGCCACAGGAAGTTGGAGGCCTGCTTGAAGTTGGGGCCGACTGTGTGGATCTCGTGGATGAGGTCCTCCATGCAGATGATGCCGTACTTGCCGAGGTTCTCCTCGATGAGGGCGTTGTCGGTCAGGGGGATGCGCTGCTTGTTGATCTTGCCATAGCCGCGCTTGTAGATGAGCTCCTTGACCGACTTGAGGTTGGGGTAACCGTAGGCGACCCAGGGCTCGACAACCTTGATCATCTCGGTGGTGGCCTTGGTGACCCGGATGAAGACACCGTTGTTGATCTGGAGGAGACGGAGGAGCTGGAGGATCTTGCGGGGCTTGGGGGGGATCTTGTTGATACTGGAGTCCGGTGTCAGTCACTGTGGTGAGAGGTAGGGTATGTCACAATGCGGCCAAACTTACCCCTTGATGCGGATGACGAAGATCAACTTGGACTCGGCGGGAACGTAGGCCGAGTCATTCTCGCGGGCGACGCGGTTAAGACGGACCTTCTCGCGCTCTGCCTCACGGTACTCCTGGACGTACTTCTCGGCGCGCTTGAAGAGGATCTGGCGCTTCTCCTTGTTGGACTATACCCAGTCATGTCAGTGTCAGATTCCACTTTACTGGCTCAACGACATGGGGATAATATCCGGCAAAAAAAATCAGACCCGAAAGAAGATGATAAATTAAAATCAACAGCATCGACACCTTGTGTCTAGTTGAGGGCATGGTATGCATCATGAAAAGCGCGGAAGAGAGAACATCATGGGGGGCGGAACGGAACGTACGGTCTTCTTCTCCTCGTTGGCGGCGTTGCGCTCAGCGCGGGCCTTCTCCTGGCTCTTGCGCTTCTTGAGGAGAGTCTCAGGGACAAGGATGTCCTGCTTGGTGGGAACGGTACTGCACCGCCAGCATCAGATTAGTACGTAGTCCGACATACCGCAGGCAGGCAGTATGTGTAGCAGAGCGCCGGTGCGAGAATTGCAGCTGTAGCGCGACATTCTCACGTTGGCTAACTCGAATCCGACAGAAGAATTTAATCGGTGAGTGTGCGTCTCTTGTTTTTGGGGAAACCTGTCCACCATTCGGTGAAGACAAGCGGCACAAAGAGACAGTTCACTCATCCGACAACACCTCGAAGGGGAAGACTTCGAGAACAAAGTGCCAGCTGGAAAATCGAACTCTTCGAGTCAAAGCCTTTCGGCTTAATAGAGAGAGAGAGCGGTTCGGACCAAGCGGCAATGCATTTCAGGGCGAAGAGACAATCTTCATCCCCAACACCCCAGGCATCGTCTCTCCAAACCGTAAGCTGGTTTCCAAGCCTACAGGATTGGAGGGAGAAGCCCGGGAACGATCGAGCTGGCCGCCGAGCTTTTCGCCGCCCATGACCTTGCGGCCCAAGGCGAAAAGACTCGGTGTCCAGTTGAGAGGACCACGACAATCTGCATTCATCGAAACCGGGATGCAAGAGAGAAGGGCATCAAGGGGGTCGAGGAACATACGGAGCCATTTTGGACGGTTGTTGGGCGAGGTGTCCGGTGGGTTGTCGAGAGGAATTGGTCGTGGGAGAAGGTCGGCCAGAAAGAAAGGAGAAGAGAAAATTTCCTGAGATACGGGGTCCAGTTGGGAATACTTCGTACTTTCACAGCTTGACCTGGTGGAGAGACCCACACCCACAAAAAGACCCGAAAAGAAAAAAAGATATTTCGAAATTCCAGCCAAATAAAATCGGGGCGTCGGTTAGGGTTCACTCCCCCTGTACACTATCCCCAATCCGATTTATGCCGCCCCAGACCGCTTCCAGTTTGTAGGGCAAAATTCCCACTCAATCCTCATTGTGGACATTTCGTGGGTTTTTGGTCTTTACACCGATCATCACCAAGCCACAATCGCATCAACAACCGCCGCGATGCCTCCCAAGAAGACTGCGACCCGCGCCCCTCAGGAGAATGTCTCCTTGGGCCCCCAGATCCGCGAGGGTATGTTTTTTTCTCTTCTTCACAAGTCGCCTCGCGCTGTAGGAGAGAACTTGCGCGCTGACCAAAGGTACCCCGCCAATTGTCCAGGTGAACTCGTCTTCGGTGTCGCCCGCATCTTCGCCTCGTTCAACGACACCTTCGTCCACGTCACCGATCTCACGTTAGTTTCCCCCCGGATATACACGAAGAGCTAGGCTAGGAAAATTTGGGCGGATCTCTCCCCGTCCGTCGGCTGCGTGATTTGAAGAACTATCAAAAGAAAAAAAAAGAAGAAGAAAAAAAGAAAAAGGCTAACATTCTGGGTGATTCCAGTGGCCGTGAGACCATCTGCCGTGTCACCGGTGGCATGAAGGTCAAGGCCGACCGTGACGAGTCTTCTCCCTACGCCGCCATGTTGGCAGCCCAGGACGTCGCTGTTCGCTGCAAGGAACTCGGCATTACTGCCCTGCACATCAAGATCCGTGCCACTGGTGGTGAGTTTCTCGCCCCCTCTTCTCTCTCTCTCTCTCTCTCTCTCTCTCTCTCTCTCTCTCTCTCTCTCTCTCCCACATGCTAATACTCCCGCGCTCCAGGTAACGGCACCAAGACCCCCGGTCCCGGCGCCCAGTCTGCCCTCCGCGCCCTCGCCCGTGCCGGCATGAAGATCGGCCGCATCGAGGACGTCACCCCCACTCCCTCCGACTCTACCCGCCGGAAGGGTGGTCGCCGTGGTCGTCGTCTCTGAGCGCCAGGCCCTTCTCTCTTTACTACGACTGCTTTTACACGACTACGCCGAACGATTTTATTGGGGGCGTGGGAGTATTTTTTTTGCGGTTTTATTTTGGGATGGACAGGAGCTGGCCTCGAGAAGTATTCTGGCCTGGTCTCAATGGGTTGGCGTCGGGCACAATTACGAGGAGAACGGCTTTCACATCCCCCCCCCCTGGCTTTGTTAAATGCCTGGTCTCCATGTTTACCCTCTGCTGCTGCTCTGCGCAGTGGCTTTTAAGTAAACAGAATAGAAATCCGCCAGAAATGGCCTGAACTGAAGAGCAGCTCCTGATTCCGAACTCACGATTTGAACGAGGCAGTTCCGGACACTCTCTCTCGTAGTCGCATCGCATGCTGCAAGTGATATGAGAACTTGGTTTTAGGGGATTCTTATGCCGTGACAGGCTAAGCCGAGGGTATCGTGTCAAAGGCATCTATCTGATCGATCATACTTGGGCTCACAAGGGGTCGCCAGGGTGAAGTACTACACTCCCTGATCCCCCTGCGCTCCGCTAGAAACTTCGTCCTGTAGCCCACAAGTGACAAGCCTAGTCGGCCGCAGGCGCCTTCAACGTCCAAACCCCCCTCCCATACCCCCCCGAGTCGTCAATTTCCGCCACCGCACTCAACGCCTGCTTGAACTCCGCCTTCCTAGCCTCCGTCGTGCAGTACACGTCAAACCGGTTAATCAACTTCTGGGTCGTAGCCCTGCCGCCGCGCTCCCTCTTGATGAACTGGGTGATCATCCGTTTAAAGTCAGGCGGCTTGATGGGCGCCAAGTCCGGCCGGGGCGGGCGGCTCGACGAAACGGCCACCGTGACGGGACCGCGGCCGCGGCCGCGGCGGCGGGGCTCGCGTCTGCCGGCCTCCCCGACCTCGCCCGTCCAGGTGACGGTGCCCACGGGGTTACGGCGGGCGTCGGCCTCGGCCTGTCGCAGGTGGGCGCGGGCGCGGGCGGCGATCCGGTTGGCGTCCTCGGTGATGATGGCGAGGTCGGCCTGGACCTTGCGCTTGCCGTTGACGATCTTTTCGTGTTCGTAGGCGGTGTCAACGGAGCGGGCGAAGATGCCCTCGATCATGCGCTTCTCGTCGTGGGCGTGTTTGTCGTCGTACGTCTGTAGGCCGGCGACGGAGGCCATTCTCTCGACGTCGCGGGTTTCGTCTTGGGGACGACGGGGCTCGGCTCCTCCGTTGACGTAGGAAGCATCCGGCGGCGCAGGACTGTTGTCGTTGTTGTTGTTATGGTGGTGGTGGTGGTGGTGGTGGTTGGAGATGTCGCTCTTCTTCATCGGCGGCTCGCCGCGTGACTTGAACGTAACTTCGGCTCCTCGGAACAGCTTATTGCGGTCGTCTTGGCCTTTGTTGTCTCGGGCATTGCCGAGAGAGAACAGGTCGAATAGGTCGGTGAGATTAAAGGAGGCGCGTTGTTTCGGGTCCTTCAACACTTTGTCCGTCATGTACTGCTTGAAGATCTGACGGTGGTACATCTTTTCCTCGATGGTGCCCGACGTCACCAGGCGGTATATAGAGACGGACTTCGTCTGGCCGAGTCGCCACGCTCTCTCGCGGGCCTGCATGTCCGTAGACGGGTTCCAATCGGGGTCGAAGATGATGATGCGATCGGCGCCAGTGAGGTTCACGCCCAGCCCGCCGGTTCTCGTGGTCAAGAGGAAGACGTGTATGTTCCTGTCTGCGTTGAATCGGCCAATGAGGGCCTGGCGCTGGTGAACGGGGGTTTCCCCGTCCATGCGAAGATGGTTGATGCCGTCCATCTTTCCGATGAGTGATTCGAGAACGTTGAGCATCAGCTTGCTCTGGGAGAAGAGCAACGTTCGGTGACCGAACCGCTTCCAGAGTTGAAGCAGCCCTTGCACAACCTGCATCTTGCCGGATTTCTTCGGGTTCCCCCAGTCGTACCCTGGCCTGGTTCGAAGACGCAAGTCAAGAAGGTCGGGGTGGTTGCAGATCTTCCGAAGCACGTCAATGCCATATAGTTGGTTGCGTCTTCCGTCCATGACGGCCTGGCAGTCCTCGGAGCGGAGGAAGAGCTCATAGGCCTGCGTCTGCGACTCGGTGAGCTTGCAGAAGAGCACCTGCTCCGTCTTCTCCGGGAGATCGGCAGCGACGTCGATCTTGAGCCTCTGCAGGAGATACTGGCTGACCGTCTGTTTCAGGGTCTCGGCGCACTTCTCGGCGGCAATGATCTCGAGGTTGGTGGCGTTCGTATAGCTACCATGACGGATGGGGTTCTCGAACCGCTCCCTAAAGTCCACCAGCGTGCCCAACCGCATGGGGTAGATGAAGTCGAAGAGCGACCAGAGCTCCGAGAGGTTGTTCTGGATGGGCGTGCCCGAGAGGATGACGCGGTTGGGGGTGTTGAGCATTTTGCAAGTGACGGTGATCTCGGCATTGGGGTTGCGAATCTTGTGACCTTCGTCGAGGACGGCGTAGGCCCACTCCATATCGACCAGCTCATCGGCATACGTATGAAGGCCACTATATGTGGTGAGCAGGACGTGTCCGTCTCTCTGGACGCGCTGGACGACCTTCTTCGCAGCACCCAGGCGGCGATGGCCGGACTTGACGGGCCCGTCGAGGTCGTCGGCATCCTCGCGCCTCACGTTCAGCAAGCCACTGCCTGACGAATGCAGAATGGAAACGCGGAGGGGAGGCCACCATCTGTGGAACTCGTCGACCCATTGGCGGAGGACGGTGGCCGGGGTGACGACGATGACGGGCTTGGTGAGCAACTTGCTGTAGTGCAATGCGGCAATGAAAGCAATGACTTGGACTGTGAAGCAGTCAGCGACCTGTCAACCACACATACCATATGGCATACGCCACACGCCACACGCCACACGCCACACGCCACACAGCTGGTCTTCGAAGCGCGGTCAGGGGCAAATCGGGAAATCTCACCTGTTTTGCCCAGACCCATCTCATCACCGACAATACCACCGACTTGTTGGGTGTAAAGCTCGGCGAGCCACCGAACGCCGGTCTTTTGGTAAGAAAAGAGGGCAGGGTGTATGTCGCCCGGCAGTTTGAGTTCCTCGTCGAAGTGGTGATCGTCGGCATCAGGTGCCGGCTTGAACCACTCCTCCCCTTCGCTCTCTTCCTCGTCTCTGTTGCCCGCGGCTTCTCTGCGCTGGCGACGCGCGTGGCTGCGTCTCTTGACCCAATCTTCCAGGCGCGTTTGGTACATGGCCTCGTTCCCATCATCCACGCCTCGCAGATCCAACTTTTGCTCTTCTTCGGCGGCTGCCTTGGCCTTGCCTTTTCCTCTGCGCTTGACGGTACTGCGCTCGTCGGAATCGAATTCCTCTTCTAGGTCTTCCGGTTCCGCGGCTGACCCCGAAGCGGAGACATCTGACAAGGCCGCAGCAGGCTCGAACTCGTCGGACGAAGGGGCTTCCCTGTCAACCCTGCGTCTCTTCCTCGGACGCAGGGAAAACTCGGCCTCGGCTGTGGTGGGTAGCGCATCCTCGGAGGCTTCAGCAAAGCCAGGCATGCGTAGAATCTGATGGGATTGGGGTTCATCCGTCTCGTTTCTGTCGAGCAGCTCGGCTGCTGCCGCTGCTTCTGCTTCTGCCTTCGCCTCTGCCTCTGCATCTGCTTCCTCTTCTTCAAGTCCACCTCCTAAGCCCTGCGTATGAGAAGGTCCTCCGATTTGAGCAAAGGGAGTGATCTTGCCCGTCCGGACGAGGTAATCACGCCGGCTCTCGCCAGGCAGCCGAACGGCGTTGTTCCTATCGAGATTCTGTTCCGCGGCAGCGCTTTCCAGCCGGCGGGTTGCAATGCGAGTTTGAAAATCAGCAATGTCCTTGTCGATGTCCTTGATCTGGGTGTGAAGCTTGTCTATGTCGGCCTGGATTTTCCGTAGTCGAAACGGGATGTTGCGGTTGCCTTGCAGCTTGCGTTCTTCCGTGGTGCGCTGTGCCTCGAGTCTGGCCTTGGTGGCTTGTAGCTTCTCGATCCGGGCCTGGTCTTTCTTGTCCTGCTCATCTCGTAGGACTGCGGCAGCTTGCAGCGTTATGTCACGCTCGAGAGCATCCTGGTCTCGCACGTCGGTGGTGAGATTCTTTATGGCGGTCTCTTCGTCGATATTATCATCCACATTATCATCTAGAGGAGGCGCGGTGTCTTCCTTTGGCGGGTCCATATTGCTAGTGGCGGCAGTTGCCACCGTGTTCTCGATCAAATCGTCCGAAGCCATGATGAGATGTGAAAGAGAGTAGAACAGGTCGACAAGCAAGGAAGGTGGTGATTCACGAGTCAAGTATGGATTATGAAAGTCTTCTTAGAGATGAATGGAGTTGAATTGTGAAGCCAAAGGAAAGAGAGCTTGGCTGCGCGTGGTTGCTTCGCTTTTGTTGGTGTGAACGAAGTGGTGGATGGAGCGGATGTGATCTATTAATCAGGGGACTCGAAGGAGAAGATCATGTTCTCAGAGCAGTGTGGCTCCCCTCCAATATCTAAGCAAGAGAAGTGCATATCATAAGTGTAATAAAAGACGCTTATGTCTAGTCGTGGGATGCAGGAGGGATGTGGAGGTTTTGATGAGATGGAGGCAACAAAAGAGAAGATGAAAAGATCAAAAGACAAGATGTCGTTGCCTTCAGAGAGATACGTACTTTATTATTAGATAGGTACGTCCAATGACGCATAGCAGACTGACAAATCCCATCCCGAGAAAGCGGAATTGTGGCGGTGCAATCCCTATAGACCAATCGGAACATTTGCATCGCTCTATGTCGCCACATTTCTGACCGGGGCTCACCGAGTATCCGTCCTCCCGTACTCTTAAACTATGTGGAAATCAAGAATACGTAAGGTAGCTCATTTAAACTTCAATTCCCTCGTATCTTGGTCTTCATAGTATATATAACGTCATACGAGGTAGGGGATGATGGATTGCAAGGTTAACGCCACTATTCTCGAGGGACGAGCTCAGTACCTAGGTACCTTTCTCCATGATGTACTGGATGACTAATCCTACTCTACCTCCCCTGTCACCTGTCAAACAACTGGGTGAGACATCGACTTCACATTCGCCGATCCCGTAATCCCCTTGATCACTTCATGTCATGGCTGTGTCAACCCCCACCCTCACCCTCACCCTCACGGCAGTACCTATAGCGAATAGGATAGGCCAGAGTCTCTCAATACGTCTGTCTAGCCAGAGGCTCTTCTCGTCGAAAGCAGAACGAATGGAGCAACCTCCTTGGCTTCGAAATCTCCTGGCCGACGTCCACCCACCCCCAAAGCTCTATGCCTGGACAACCTCCAATCTTCCCCAGGATACGGACTCGGAGAAGTCCAACTCTTCCCCGAGGAAACCCCTTCAGCCGGCCCATGTGGAATCGTGTTCCGATCCAGAAAGACGGCGGCGCATCTACATCCTCGGAATCGGCAACCTCGGCATCCTCTTCGCAACATCCCTCGCCAAACTCCCGGATAGACCGCCTATCACCCTCGTAGTCCACCGAGAAGAGCTCCTCCGCTCATGGGCCGCCCATCCGGGCCTAGAGATCATCCGCGGCAGCACCACCGAGAAGCTTGCAGACTTCAACGTCGAATGGTGGACCGACCAGAAACCCACAACGGGCACGGCAACCGAGGTCGCCCAAGGCTCCGTCATCCCAACCCTCCTCGTCACCACCAAGGCATCCGTGGCCTTGCCGCAGGTAGACCGCATCCGCCGCTACCTCGGCGCGACCTCGACCGTCGCCTTCGCCCAGAACGGGATCTGCAAGCTCTGGCCCCCCTACGGCGCCGTCTACACCTCGTCCCGCTTCCCTCCGGGCGCCCATCCCAACTTTTTCGCCTGTGTGACCACCCACGGCGTCACTTCCGACGGTCGCTTCCGCAGCGAGCACGCCTCCGTCGCGGACGTCAAGGCCGGGCCCGTGCTGCTGAATCCCTCTGCGGAGGAGGACGAGGACGCCGCCGGCATCCCGGCCTACCTCCCTACCCTACTCGCGCGGGCCCCGGGACTCCACGGGAAAAGTGTCCCCACCGACGACCTCTGGATCCTGCAACTCGAGAAACTGGCCGTCAACTGCGTGGTCAACCCGTTGACCGCCGTCCTTCGGTGCAAGAACGGCGCCTTGTTCGAACGCCCCGACGGGGCCGTCATGCAACTCATCGACAAGCTCCTGCTGGAAGCGAGCGCGGTTTTTCGGCAGCTCATCCAAAGTCCCAGCACGGATGCCATCCTGGGAAAGGAAAGGCGGGAGGAAGGAAGCAGCAGCAGCAGCAGCAGAAGCAACAGCGACGAGGTAGTAATCGATCGCGACATCCTCCTGGACCGCTTCTCGTACCCGCAACTGAAGCGCATGGTCCTGGAGGTCGGACACAAGGTCCGCCAGAACACCAGCTCGATGTTACAGGACGTCCGGGCGGGCAAGCCCACGGAAATCAGGGACGTCAACGGCTGGCTCCTCGACACTGCCGCCATGCTGGGACGCCAGGCGGACGTACGCCATCATAGGACCCTCGTCGCCCTCGTTGAATCCCGAACCATCGTCGACGAGGAATCGATCCTCGACCACTTTCCTTCCTTGCGCCCTTCTTCGGCCGATGGCCCCCAAGCCGGGAGCCGATAGGCGAACATCATTCTCTCCTTTTTGCGTTGCCCCCAAAATCCCAGCCAGTGGAAGATGCTCAGATTAGCGAATCTCACGGCGGGGCCATCGTGTTGTCCTCCCGCGTACAAACGTATAGTATAGCCTGTCCGGAAGAATAAGAAACAACAACACGCGCCGATGCCAATCGCACAATCGCCCTGCTAGCCCTTCTCGCTCCCCGCCTATCATTGTTGCCCGGTGGCGCCACAGTCAGACGAAACCTACTCCGCCCCCCGCTCTCAGGGGAAGGCTTCTCTGGCAAACCGACAGGCCTACATACTCACGAGTGGCGCGGCAAAAGAGGAGCGTCTCTCCGGCGCATCACCGGCAAATTCTGCCCATGCCATGCCTAGCCAGGAGAAACCCGTCGGTTCGGGCCAACCAAAGGACACAGTGAGGCTCTTATAGACGCCGAATATAGGGGGGGGGGTCCGCCTCTTCCCCTCTTATTCATGCTCATACGAACAGCAGCTGCAGGGTTCCGCTCTACAGGAGCGAGTCACCCTCTCATGACGTGACGCGTAAGAGTCTTTTGGCGGGGGATATCGGCACATCCTACTGTGTTTTCCCAGGAACTGAGTATTCTGGGCATGTCTCTCGGGACCGGTAATCTTTTGCTTGCCGCACGCTCTATGCCCCCCCCCCCCCCCCCCTCCCCCCTGAGTCATGTCTTCTGCGCTTCTCTGGCAATCCACCCTAGAGAAGAGCCAGGCTGCTCAGATGCAAAAAGACGCATAGAATGCCCGTGAGCCACAGTGGCATCCTCTAGCAGTCCACCATGGGCGTTTGATGCGCCTTGGAATGGCACGCTTCTACTGAACCCCCCATCTCGGCACTACCCTATACGTCTCGACAGCACAGGCTAGAGCAAGGAACTCAATAGTAAAAAAAGCCATCCCCATACTCACTTCCTGTATGACACCTTCAATATCCCCAAGCGAAAAGATCCATGCGGCTCCCGACTAGGGTACAAGAAACGTACTGTCACAACCGACCAAATCACGCCTGCGAAAGCACCCCAGCAGCAATGAATGGTCGCCTCCGGCAACGGGACTATATGGTATGTAGGTAACACTGCTGCTGCTCGCCTGTATGGCGGCCGCATCGTCCGTCATTTTAAATGTTCCGACCTTGGCGGCTTCTACATGCGCCGCTCTACAACGTACCGAATAGCCACGGCCCCCAGTGCATGAATCATGCTGGCAAGGGGTGGGGGAAGGGGAAGATAGAACACAACGGCACGTCACATCGCATCGTCCATAGGCGAGTCGGCAGAGCAAGCAACTCGACATGTATTGCGTATCCATGCACGCGGCTGGACTGGTTGAACAAAATAAGGAGGAGGCTATCGTTATGTTTCACCGCCTCTTCGGGTTCGCCTCATTATGGGGATATCCCCTCCTCTCTCGGCGCAAACTGCCATATTGGCCATTACCCTCCTCCCAAAGAGGCGTTTCTAATTGCCAGACAAGCCATGCATCATATCCATATCCGGATCCCCGCGGGCCCTTGGAACGTTCGTCGCCGCATTGTCGGTCGTAAACAAAGTCAAAGTCCCTTGCGGAAGTCAGTGCGCTTCGGACAGTATCCGAGCCCCCCCTTTTTTTCTTTTTTTTTTCTTTTCTTTTCTTTCCTCCAGACACCCACCCCCCTAACGTACAGAGTACAAAACTTACACACACACCTCCTCGCATTAACCTACAACGTATGTACAACGTATGTACACCGGGACCAGCCTTCAAGATTCGGTCCGCTGCTATCCGTATACTTCGTACAAACGGTCCTGCCCCCGTCGATGAAACAAATTCCACCATGGTAATATAGGTAAGGCTTTTACAACGTACAGCTTGCGGAGGATTAATACCTCCGGGTTCTTCGGAAACTCCCTCTGTCATGCATGAAGGAAGCTGTCACCTCCTCTCCGCTTGCCGTCGTACGGAGTACATAAGACGCATCGTAGATCACCCATCTCAACTTCGAGGGGCCGAGAAAGGGAGGGGAACCGTGGCATGTACGGCCGGAGATTTTTGATTTTTTTTTGTAATGCTCCAGAGATGCCATGCAACCCTTCTTCTCCTTTGGCAAACTCGCCTTGTGCATACCTAGTGGTCAGGGCATTGGCGTCTGTTTATAGGTATTGTCAGCTCTCCAGCGGTCTTCTCACGTGTTGCTAGGGGGCAGTTGATGTCTCCCTCCCTCTCGGCCCTACACCCTACACTAAAGAGGGCCAAGGTAGTCTTCGAATGGCTCTCTCCCAGTCGGGCGTCGAGACTTGAGGACGTACCGGTAACTACGAACATCTGCCGAAAACTCCCATCGCTCGCTAGGGTAGAGTCTTCCACCTTGACCCAAGATGCCGCTACGACCAGCGATGTGGTATCTCGTTTGGGTTGCACGCATTGTGGGTGTCGAGCCACACCAGCCACTTGGCGGTTGTCTTTTCGAACCCCCCCCCAACCCCCCCCCCTGCCATGAGGGGAAAGGGGATATAGCAGAACCTGGCGGATCTATATCGAACCATTCAACCCGAGATGAACGCGCGCCCGCCGGGCAGGGCAGCAATCAACATGGGGGATTTCTCGAGGCAGCACGTCCCTTGCGCCATCAGACAAGAACAAGGCTCGGAAAAGGTCTAGGACGTTGTTTCTCCTACCCGTTTGCCCGCCATCCCGACCCTGGCTTCTTGATCCAAGTTCGAACGCGTCCCTTCAGAGCACGTACATACAACGTATGTACTGTCGTAGCCCAGCCCCCTTTTAACCGCTGCCATCGATTGTCACCCAGCCATTGAAGATCTTCGTGTTTCCGGCCGACAATTAACCACGAAAACAATCCGTTCGCCTGAAGACAGACAGTGGTTCCATGTTCGCAGAGATCCAGCGCACTGACATGTTGCCAAATAAGGCAATATTATGCAAATCATGGGGACCAAAATGATAGAATTATAACAGACAACATAGGAGATGTTAAAATAAAAGAAGGAAGTATAAAGGGTGGGGAAGGAAAAGAGACAGAAAAGAAATTCAAGAAAAAAAGCAGAAAAGAAAAAAACAAGAAAAAAACAAGTCAACAAGAACAGATAAATGCCAACACAAACTTGCCCCCCAAGCCGTGTACCCAACCAAGCTGCGACTCGTCCCCCAAATTCCGCCGTTGTTCCAAAATTATTCTCCCCATAAGCCAGCACCCTAGACACCTTGTATGAAGTTTCCCTATTTCAGCCACGCACCTAAGAAACTGTTCCATAATGAACTCGCTGAGATGAGTGCGAACCTCCCACGGGAATTCCTTTTCCCTACCATGTGATCCCGCAACGATTCAATTCTGGCCAGTCGATGCTGCATATGTCGCATCCGAAGAGGCGGAATGAATGCTGCGCGACTTGAAATGGCCCCACCTAGGGGCGGGCGGGTATTAGACGAAGCGTACAGTGCAGATATTGTCGTAAAGCAAAGAGTAACAAGCGGGTATATGGGTCCGTTGTCTATGTCATGATCGTAGAGGAAGAAGAATTAAAGAAAAAGAGAATCCGGGTATCTGGAAGAAGAGAACGACTTCGGCCTCCGCAATTCGAGATTACAGACGCCGAATCGAATCGGAATTAGGTTGAGAAGCAACCGGATGAGTTCCCCTGGCTCTGGTGTTGCCGACTTTCTGAAGCCAGAGAGCCTTGTCAAGGCAGGGGAGAAAATAAAGAAAACACCTTCCCCTTTCGGGGTTGCTGCGGAACGGGAGAGTAAGACGTGTCGTCCATCTTTTTAAAGTGGCAATTTCATGCCATATCGAAGGACTGATAGTTGCCTTCGCCCGTGATGGGCTCTTCTGTACTATAAGAGCTGGTGTGAGAAGTCGGTGTCCCCAGGCTCAGGCGCCGAAGCTCCTGGAGGGGACACTGATTGCTATAAAGGAGGGCCGTATAGTTCGTGGGCTCGCTCCCTGCAAGCCGCTGGGGTGAATCCGGCCCCTAGTTTGTTGGCCACAATGCGCCACTTTTCGTTCTCGTACTCTTGCATGGCAGCACGAAGCTTTTCGTCCTAGGGCGGAGGAGAGAGCCATGTCAGCATTGATCCGTACGCAGACGGGGCAAGAAAGGACATACCGTTTCGTCAGTCCACTGGGTGGTCTTGGCCTTCAACTTTGTGCAGTACCGCACTTGGAGGGTCCCTGAAGACCTCCCCGGAAAGAAGTCGGCAATCTGCTTCCAGGTGAGATTCTTGTTTTCCTTCAAATCGATCAGAAGCTGGTCGTCCTCGGGCGTGAACTTGAGCTTCGGCCCCCTTGGTCTTGGTGCTGCTGGCGGCATTCCCGGTTGCCCCACGACGCTCGGGGCCCCGCCAACGCCGCCTTCTCCCTCCCTTCTCGTCAACTTGGAAGGTGGCCCTGTGTCGGGTAGCCTGTGATGATGGTGTGTCGGTGGATGGACGGCGGATTGCGCCGCAGCTTCGGCGTAGGCGGCTCCGAGAGATGTTTGCTGCATGCTCTCGAGCTCACCTTGTTCAAGATCCGGCATGGGAGGAATGGACAGTTCCAGTTCGTCGGGATGAGGACGCTTGATACCAGAGTGATGCGCGTGAGTGGGCGACGGTGCCGTCATTGATGGGTACAGCGGTGCCACGACTGCCCCCGGACCGGCGAAGTGAGAGGCGGCCGCCAGGTGTCGAGAATGTCCCATTTGGGAAGGGTCCAAGATGACCTGCTGCTGTTGCTGCTGCTGGTGGTGGTGAGGGTGAGGGTGAGGGTGGTGGTGGTGTTGCGACATGGCGTGATGGTGCGCCTGGTGGGCGCCAGGCTGTTCTGGTACACCGTGGGCGGGGCCGCCAGTGTGGTGAATCGAGCCCCGGTGGTGATGATGGTGTTGCGAAGAAGCATCATAACCGTGCTGCTGATGGCTCTGCTCGGCCGGATGCGACTCCTGTGCCGAGTAACCGACATTGTAGTCCCCTACTCGGTAGTTGCCCGCCAGCGTGTCTCCCAAACATCGGTTCCGCCAGAGCGAACCGCTCTGGACGGCCGCCGGGCTCTGGGTAGAAAGAATCGGAATTACGAAAGCCCTCTCGAGCTGCGTCGTCGTCGGTGGACGCGGGCGTCGTTCGTCTTACGGGCGTATAGGTGCAGAATCGCGTGGTTGGTAGAACAGGCTTGCAGAACCTGAATGGTTGGAGACGTTGTTGGGTGGCAGTTCGGTTGTCCGTGCGCTTTCCTTCCTGTTCTTTCTGTTGCTGCTAATTGACGGTGATGGTGAATGTGGCAGTGGCGGTAGTGTACAACGTCGTCGTAGTCGTGGTTTGTGGTGTCCTTCGTTGGGTCTTTGCGTAGAACCGTGTATGGAAGAGGACTACTATGAGGTGCCAAGGGTTAGGATGAGTCCCTAACCGTAAATGATAAGCGAAAAGATTATTAAGATGAGATGGATGTCGACGCAACCATGTCACCTTACTCGGTGCCCAAGGTTGCCACTTGTGCACGAAGCTCTCGGGATCTTCCTTACCTGATATGATTCCCGACTGATTTTGGCAGCTGTATATAAACAATGGCAGATGGTCGGAAGATCGGGAAGGCTATATGTGGGCGACGGTTGTTTATCATGTAATATATAACCTTTGGACGTATCTTAACGAAAAGAGGTAGGTGGCGGTGTGGGTGTGCGTGGAGTGAAGGCCGAACAGGCGGAAGTGGGAGGAGGTATGTTGACTTCCCGGGGCTAAACCAGCGGGCTCCACGAAGTAGAGAGACCCCTCCCCCCGGCTCAAGGCACAGAGAGAGAGAGAGAGAGAAAGAGCATAATATGGGATGCTTGGTTCACTCTCGCGGGCGAACATGTGGCCTGCTAAGAGGTTCGGGTCTCCGGGTGGGTGGGAGTGACTAGCCGCGCATCGATGACGGTGGTAGCATAATTTGGGCAACTTATGCCATTGACGGTTCTCCCAATCGGGAAGCAGGGAACCCTGTCAGTCAGCCGGAATGATACAAAAGAGGAGATGGTACGGATGGAAGCAGGGTGTCAAAAACCCCGGCATTGAGGTAGCTTCCGGGGATCCTGGATGGTCAGGGATAGCAGAGGACAAGCAAAGTGGGCGCTGGGGTAGCACGGATGCGGCATAGAAGATTCAAAATAGCTGCCACCAGCCCGATAGTGAAGATGCATTGAAACAAGCCTTACTATGCAAGATTAGACAAAAGCAAACCCGACCGGGAAGCCAGGCACTGCTTCGTGACGACCCCGTGTGGCTGTGCTCAGAAGAGTATCCGTAGTTCGTCTGCGACGAAGAGACAACGCTGTACTGGTACATGTGTGTCAAGAGGAGACGTGAGCAGGTATCCGTAGTTGACCAAGCAAAAGCCAGGGAGATGGATGGGCAAAGTAAACGGTTCTTGTGTGGACTCGACAGGTGGGTTCGCTATATCAGAGCTGGGGAGGGTATAGCCGAGCCAGGGAATTGAAGTGATTTCTCCACGCTAATAGGGCGATGTGGGTGAAAGGCTCGAAAAGCTTGCAGGTAACGACAAAGCTAGGCCTTACTAGTAACTCTAGTGCCGAGGAGACGACGGCAAGGTGGCCCAAAAGAGAAAAGAAGGAGTGGGATCCATGGCTTGGTCTGTGGTTTTCCCCCCTTCCCTTCTCCTTTTCGTCGAGTACGTAGTACGAAGTAGTTGTTACTCTGCTCTTCTTGTCTGAAGAGCCAAGTCTGCCGCCTGAAGGCGGACGGCCCTGGAAATTGCCAAGGTCACTGGCACTCAGACTCGGCCGCCACAAGCCCGGGATCTGATCGGGACGTTGGAAAGGGGGGCGGGCCCTACGGCGAGCCCGGCTGACATAACGAGACGATTCCGATGTCACGGGAAGAAATGCCCCCCCCCCCTTGGATGCGAAATTCGAATGTCGCAGGACGAGAGTGGTGCATGAAAGAACAGCCAGGCTAGAGAGTAGTGCCAAGTACGAAGAAAACAAACGAAGCTCAAGCGTGAGTTTGCGTGAGAAGAGTCCGCTATGCACTGCAACCGTGAACTGGCATGGGATTTTTGACGTGCAGGGGGGGCAATATTGGGATGGGTGGCTGGTAATTACATCGGACAGTGTGGGGGAGACCGACCAGGGCCGGGGGGGGGCATACCGGTACTCCGTAGAACCGTGAGGGAGGGTTGGGTTGGTGGAATTTCAGGAATTTCAGGGCAGTCCGAAGTCACTCTGTCCCTGCCAAGCAAAATCCAACGTACAACGGTGTACGGATAACATGGGACGGGAAGCGAGGGCTTGGGCTGCGCGATAGCTGGGAGGGGCGGGCCACGACCGTGATGCTGTCGTTCGCTGGTCGTTCGGAGGACGAAACGCAAGAGCCTGTCCTTGTCACGGGGTTTGTCGCGCTGCAGTTGGCGCGTAACTCAGCCCCGATAGTGTCGCCTGGGCGTCATTGGCCATCGACGGAACATGGTGATGGCAACGTCGTTAGAGGGTCTGACAACGGGGCGTTTCAGTAGTACTTCGCACACGTGGAGTAGCGTACGGTCGAACCTACGTACATGAGACAGCAGACTCCATGCCATTGCCCTGGCGTTGGTATGTCATGCCTGACGCGATGGTTGGAAGTTTGGGGGAGGGAGCAAGGGCCAAAGAAATTGATCGGGCTCTCTTGAGAATTTGTCATCGATGACAAGGCAGAGACGAGAAGCACATAAGTCTTCCAGCATTGACTGACTGTACGAAGTACGGATATGCGTTGCACGGAACTGGGTGAAGATTGCCGGGACTGCATGAGCCAACATGTTTCACCCGCACCGGGCAATTAAAAGGGTGTGTTATGCGACCGGGTCGTCCTAATCCCGAAGTTCTCGAAGGCGGCGAACTTGTTCTAGCGTGTATCTTTCGACGTAGTGTCTCAGTGGCTGGGAAAGGGGAGAAGTTGGGGAGACGAGGTCGTTTGATGAAGCCTCCGCGAGGATTTCAAAGCAATGCATCGTAAATGTCGTCATGTCGTGAAGCATCGAGAAATAATACTTGGAAACGGGTGGAGAGACGAGACGACGCATGGACACGATGAACCATGCGACAAAAACAAAGAAACGGATTTTGATAGGATCGATCAGCTGGGGCAGCGGAGGTCAAATAGCAAATGCGTGAAGCTGAAGTTGAGGACGGACCTGATGGGCCTATTGGTGGCGCAAGGCGGAGGATGGGAAGAATGAGGGGAGGATGGGGAGCAAAAAAGAAGACTGCCCCTGAAAGTGTCAGAAGAACAGAAACATCGAGGGTAGGTATTGGGATACGACTGGGTAATGCCTTCCTTTTTTTTCCTTTTTTTCTTTTTCCTGTTCTTTCCGTTGGTCTTCCACTCGACAATGAGGTACATAATTACAGACTACAAAATACCTTAGCTAAGGCAGCTGCAATCTGTTCAGGAAAGACTAATCAGGTCGTTCCTTTCTGGATAAGATGCAAGAAGTGCCTTGGGAAAAAAACACTTTAAGGGAGGACAGCAATGTATGTACCTAGGTATGTACCAGCTATGGAGTAATAAGTACATATACATAGTAAGAACAACCTAATTAAGCTTTAAAAAAGGTAGTTCTACAGTACCCTGGCTAAGTTATACCTATCACAGGTCACTTGTCGAAATTCGAGATATTGGCAGCAACTCCCCTCTCCGCTTGTCTTCCTACCTATGCAGGAGCAAATGAGACATACGGCTGCACTAAACTCTAATTTGAAGTATGATTCGAACAGATTGCAGCCGCCAATGGTTCAATCTTCTCGATTGGGCCGGACCCAGCTCCGGGCCGAATGAACCGATGGTCATCGCATGAAGGAGAATTTACGTTGACGCGTAAACGTGGATCCTTATCATAACACGGCTGATCTTCACCTTGTCACGAGAACGCCAGAAAATACTAAGGTACCCACCTATTACCGAGTATCCGTATCTCTTGGTTCAATGTGGCCATGGCATGCGGTATGAGTACGATGCTGATGTACAGCTCTAAACCGTTTCTTTTTTATATGTAAAAGAACCTGCCTCTGCATTTGCATGTTTTACCTGCTGGATATCCAAACATGCCTGCTATTTATACACTCCCTTCATTTTCCTTTACCACGCTTCGTCCTGCCTCCTCCATTCATTGCTCCAGTTACTCTCGAGTCTGCGAGTCTCTGCATTCCGTACAATGTACTCATCTCTCATCTCTGGATGCGCCACGTGTGGGAACCGCTAAGATTTCCAATAGTGCCCTTTAGCACCGGACCGTTTTCCTCGATTGGACTACGGAACCCCCTACCAGATACACGTACATACGTACTGTACGTCCTAGGTTTGCAATCTAAGGTAGCCGTTGTGATGTACTACATATTTGGCACTTGCTTTGGGTGCTCATTCAGCCGTTCCTCGTGAGCACATAGAGTACCTTATTTCTTGTACGCCCGCGCGCACGTCTTAGGAATCATCCCGTGCTCCGTCCTGGGCCATCGCCCGTCAACTTCAACTTGCATCCTCAACTCAGCCCTCAGCCCTCAGCCCCGGGTCTGGCGGTAAACATGCTGAAAGAAAACAAACAAAGACAAAACAAGGGAAACACAAACATGTTTGAGCTCAAGACCCGAACACTCGGACGTTTCCAGTACTGTGCTGCGAACCTGCCGGCAAGGATCCATGGAATCGCATGTCGAAACCGACTCGGCCGCGGTACCTTGGTCCTTGGGTACTCCGCACCTGGAGCAAGAGAATGACGATATCCGCAGATGCCCATCCGTATAACGATGCCCCAGAATGCTAATTACAACCAAATTGCATTTTCTCTCTTGTTGCTCGCCCTCGGGGCCCCGGGCCGAGGCTGAACGGGCGAACGTGATTGAAGAAGATGGGATTGTTGCCCAGAAATCATTTCCAGATCTTCATGCGCCCCGGCATCCCTAGGGGGTACCGATACTTCGCACGAAGTACATATTCGTACAATACCAACCGCAGCTCTCTCTCTCTCTCTCTCCTGCGTCTGCTTCCTCTCACAACCCTTCGTCTGTCAACTCAAATGCCTGGTTCGACGTCGTCGTGGCTGTCGTCAATGCAGGTCATAATACGAAGCTCCGCCGCATAAAGTTGATCTCATGTCCCCGACTGCCAACGCCCGGGGTGGAAATCCTTCCAAGTCTCTCCGAGGTAGTTACAGAAGGGCACAGGGCGGGCACAGGGCCAAGCCAGCCCCCAGACAGGGTAATTTAATGCGTGCCCTACAACGTACCTTATGCACTACGACTACGAAGACATGCACTACCGGATGTCAATTGTCATCAATACTTCGTGGATCGGCACCGGGCTAACTGAACTAACCTTGACCTGTTCGTTGTCTCCGCCCCCCCTCCCCCTTAAACGAACCCCACGATACGATGCGCAAATCACGATCCAACAGCCAGCCTTATCCGGAGAAACCGCTGGACGGGCTTGTCCGACAGTCAGGCAGGGAAAAAGCAATGGCATGAACATGAACACGAACGCATAAAGACACCTAATTTGACGCGCTTCTAACCGCCATTGCTCATCGCTTGATAATCTAGGAACGGAAACGTGCCTTCTTCTCGGCCTGCAGCGTCTTCACCAACATGTCTTCGATTTCTTGTTCGTCGACGGCGAACACCGGATGACCATTTTTCCAGGTCCAGGGCTTGCATAGCCGTCCCGCTCCGGGCTACGAGATCGTTTCGCCATCTTGGACTGTGGACCAAACTTGTCTTTGCCTCCTGTCGTACGAAATACGAGATATGCATATGCGATGACCTCCGATTGACAATGTTGGGTCCAGAGACTCCCAACTCCCAAGGCGCTGGATCCATCCAATATCAATAGCCATCCCATCCCACCATCCTGCAGGAAGTGTGCGTGTGTGTGTGTGTGTGTGTGTGTGTGCAAGCAGACAGGCTAATTAGGGGAACGGGATTTTCCTGCATAAACTTGCCCTTGCAGCTCACTCTCCACTTTGATTTTTTTCCTTTTTCTTTTTTGGCCCCCAGAAAGATGACGAATTGGACCTCGAAGGTGAAGGACCCGAGTCTTCGTATGCCAGCCAGTAGAAGAGCAAACATCAAATTACATTACAGCATGTGCTCGGTATATCGTCTCCCACCGTGGACAAAAGGTGACAACCATCGCCACAGCGTCACCTTGGGGCAATCAACACCAAGATCTCCTGATAGAACCAACTTCAGCGATTGTTCTTTTTGATGATTAAAAATACAAATGCAAATACAAATGTCTTGCTATATTTCCATTACAGTACTCCTACAAACCTCAAAACGCCGCCTCAGCTAAAGACATGGGTGATTTTCTTCCCCATGTGTTGCTTTTGCAGCCCGTCGCAATCCTCCACTTGCGACCCCGCTGACCTCTCGCATTACCCGGCAAATGACGGTAGAAAAATAAACGAAAAAAGAACAAGAATGAAAGAGATACAGAGTTTGAGTTGTCCTGAAGTCAACTGAAGTCAATCTCGCAAGCCAGGAATCGTGTTGTTGTTTCGTTTCCCCAAGCTCATGTCAAGCCCCCCCCCCCTTTATGCTTCCATCCTCTCTCCCTCATCTCACGCAAAGCTGAGATGCAAAGGAAACCCGAGTGACCAACGCCCTATGCGAAATTGTCCGTCCGATCCACCCAGATATCCTCCAGCTCCGCAAAGCTCTGGAAATGAATCGGCCTATGCTGGTCGCTGTAAAACGGCATCGGCGTATCCAGCTTGACGTGCACCGGCTTCTTCTCCATGCCCGCGAACGCGCTGCCCATGAAGCTGTAATTCCACTTCCCGCCCTCCGGCACCAGGAAGAACCCGCGGAACCGCGGGCTGAGGAGCAGCTTGCGCTTCACCCCCATCGACGTGGTGAAGCCCTGCGGCTGGTCGCTGTTCGTGTCCTTGTTCTCCGCGCCCCACCTGTACCCCGCCGGCGTCAGGCCCCACGCCGACAGCGACACCGAGCCCGGCGTGAACGCCACCGCCACCGTGATCGTGTCGTTCTTGTCCCACGACGACGCGTGCGCGTCCAGCAGCCGCGCGTGCTCCGTCACGTCCGCCGCCGACATGTACGGCAGCTCCGACCCGGACATGGTGTGGATCACCCCGAGCGGCTCCATCGACCCGAGGAACTCGTGCTGCGGCAGCTGCTGCGGAAGCTGCACGTCGCGCAGCCCGCCGATCTGCGGCACCATCACGATGCACTTGATCTCCTTGACCTGGTCGTTGTCCCGCACCGCGTGCCCGTACAGGTACCCCGCCACCTGCACCCGGAGGTCGGCGATCATGATGAACCGCTTGAGGATGTTGTTCGGCATCACGTACGTCACGTCGTCCACGTCGTCCACCGACGACACGTAGATGTGGTTGGCCTTGGTGCGCAGGTTGGACGTCGCGATCGCCCGCGTGCGCCACTCCGTCTTGGACGCGAACGTCTGCTGCTCGAACTGCGACGTCGTCGTCACGATGATCTCCTCGCCGTGCACGTTCTGCGTCTTGGTCGTCACCGCCGTCAGCTGCTGCTGCTCCTGCTGCTCCTGCTGCTGCTTCTCAATCTCCGCCGCCTGCTGCCGCTGCATCGACGGCGCCGAGATCTCCATGCCCAGGATGATGTCGCGCACTTCGCTGCTCGTCAGGCTCGACACGTTGACGTTGTTCTTCTTGCCGTAGTCGTTGAGGATCAGGTCCCGCAGCTGCACCTCCACCTTGATCCAGTCCTCGTCCGACAGCGTCGGCCAGATGTGGTGCTCCTGCGTCACCACCGTCTTGTCCGGCCGCAGGACCAGCTTCGTCTTGTCCGGGTTGACGTGCAGCGCGCGCAGGATGAGGATCAGCCGGGAAAACGCCGTGTACGACGACAGCGACTTGAGCCATTCGTCGTAGAGGTTGAACAAGACCATCTGCGGCTCCGTGGCCCGGAGAATCATGTCGCCCAGCTTCTCCACTTTCATCGCCGCCTGGAACGGAAGCTGCAGCTCGGACGCCCGGATCGAGATGTTGGGGAAGTCCAGGAGATGCACCTCCAGCGGGTCGAGGAGACCCTTTCGCGTCACGATGAGCTGCTTCGGCTGTTCCTCCACCGGCAGAGACCGGATGAGCGCCGCCACCTCTTCGGCCGTCTTCCACTTGGCCAGCTGTCCCAGACGCTTCTGCCCCGCCCAGACGCTGGTGTGGATGATCTTGAGGAAGAGCTGGCCCGTGCGGGGGTTGAAGATGAAGATGGCGCCGTTGATGGGTTTCGTCGTCAAGTTGCCCTCGAACGTCTTGTGGATCGTCACCCGGTACACGTTGGTGTCGTCGATGAACAGCTGCGTCTGGTTGCTGAACAGCTCCGAGTAGTTCTGCGAGTTGAGGAACTCCTGCGTGTTCTCCGACGCGTAAAGCTGCAGGCCCTTGCGGATGCGCTCCCGCAGGACGTACAACGCCGGGTTGGCCTTCATGACCTTGGCCATGGCCTGCTGGATGAGCACCTTCAGCCCCGGGAAGTACATGCCGTACGCCGAGTACAGGTTGTACGCCAAGTCGATGCCGATCATCAGGCCAGTCGCCGAAGGATAGATGCTGGCGCTGTCCGTGGTGTAGTCGAGATACTTGGCGCGCGTGTAGCGCTCGATGTCGTGAGAGTCGTAGTCGCCATACCGCAGCTGCACGTCAATCCAGAACTTGTTCGTCGTCGTCGGCTCGATGACATCCTTCGTGTCGTACAGCATGGACGGCCGCGTGACGTTCCACTTGTGGCTGGCGAAGAGCAGAATGTCCGCGCAGGAACTGTTCATCTTGTAAGACTTGCGCGGATGAATCGTCTCCTTCTGGACCGTCTCGATGCCGAGAGACTCGAGCTCCTGATCGAAGACCTGACACAGGTCCATCACCACCGACTCGTGGATCTTCTGCCACAGATGCGCACGGAAGATCTGGATGAGCGAGATCTTGAGCGTCGGGATCTTGCCGTGCAAGAAAATGCCCGTCAAGTCCAGCTGGACTTGGAAACCGACATAGACGTTGGCCCGGTTAATGGTCGGCGACCACCAGAGGGTGAAGCGACGGTTGGGGATCTGGTTCAGACCAGACCTTTGCGCGTTGGTCAACTTCTTGAACTTCATCGACTCCTCGAAGCCACTGGCCTTCTCCCAGAACAGGCCCTCCCAGGACGGGAACCCGGTCGCCTTGAAAAGCGTGTGCTCGAGGATGGTTTCGACACCACCCAGCGCCTGGATGACGTCGGTCCGGTACGCATTGAGATTCCACAGCTTGCCGTCGTGCCTCTGGCTCGTCCACCAGAACGGGTGGTTCTTCATCATCTGGTAGATCCGGAACTCGGCGCGCGCTCGGAATCCCTTGTCGAAGCTGAGCGTGCTGCGGTCCTTCTGGAAAAGGGTGTTGATCCGGGGCAGCCCGCGGTCCCAGCTGTCTTCGAGATCCTCGAGCGTCAGGCGACGGTTCTGTTGGTTGGCTTCCATGCGCTTCTGGGCGTACTCGGTCCAGACACGCTGGGAGTCGATGAACTCGGCTTCCCAAGGGATGATGTACCGGAAGATGTTGGGAATCAGAGTCTCCTCGTCGTGTGTCATACCGGCTCGGTAGTGGGTAATGCCGGCGTCGGTCTGCTTCGACCACCGCTTGTCGCTGGCCGGGATGAGAATGTGGGAGCCAGAGATCATACCGAGACCACCCAGTTCTTTGGGCGTGTAGAACACGGCAGGCGGGAACCGGGAAGGCATCTTGGAGTTCAACCCAATCTTGACCCGGGTCTGGATCTTCGTCTCGCACTTCACGATGGTGTCGAGGAGATCGACAGTCGAGACCGCGGCCTCGCGGTAGTACGTGAACAGAGCGATCAGTGCCGTGTTCCACTTGTTCGCAATCTTGGTGAACGTCGTCGAGCCGGATGACATGAGGATCTGCCGAATCCTGTTGTTGAACTTCTGGATGTCTTCCTCGGTCACTTGCAAGAAGGCATGCGCCGTTCGTTCCTTGCTCGTGTTGTCGACCAGCGACCACACACTGTCCTTGACGGGGAACTCGTCGTTCTGGTTGCGGCACTTTGGAAGTATGCGCACCTCGAAGCCGCACATCGAGAACAGGAGGTTGGGATTATCCCGACTGTAGACGCTGACGAAGCTGTCGTCCCACTCAATGGTAGTGATGGACCTCGGCAGGCGGTTCTTGAGGTCCCAGAAGACGGCTCTGCCGAGATTCACGTCGTGCCTCATGAGGCGCATGCGCGAGTCTCTCGGCCAGCACTTCTTGCTCTTGTACCCAATGACGTTCTCGAAGTTCGGGTCGGGCTGTTCCGTGAGGAACCTTTGGATGAGGTCCCGCGACTCGTCTGCGGTAAACCGGAGGCACACCCAGATCTTGTCGATATAACGCGTGTAGAGGCGAATGGGATGTCGCGTCTCCGTCTCCTTGTCGCGGAACTGCAGGAAGTCGTTGGGACCTTGCGGAGGGCCAGCGATCTCGCTCGCCCTCTGAGGCCCGAGCAGGAGCAAGTCCAGGACCAGGCCGTAGTACTGGAACACAAAGGCCGAGAACTGCAGGCCGCGAATCATGCCGTAGCTATTGACGTGATTCATGTCCTTGTACGTCAGCTGAACGTTGTTCTTGGCCGTGATGTAGTCGGCAAGGTTGTGATCCATGATCAGCCGGAGCAGCGAGTTGAGAAGCGTCAGTTCGATCTTCTCGTAGACCTTGGACAGTTCCGTCTCGATCAAGACGTTGCATTCGCCATTCTCGGTTTCCCAGACCCTGTCGAGATTGTTGATGCCCTGAGCCCACTTGTAAACGAGGAGGGGAGGCACTTCCGAGTCGGACGGCTTGATCCATGCCGGGAACAGGTGCCGTTGATCGGCCTGATACCAGAGGTACTGGTCCAGGTAGGCGTCGCTAATCTTCTCGATGGGCTCGACATCGTAGACGGGGTTGATGGTGCTGTAGTTGTCGTTCATGTCAATGCCGACCTCCTTGAAGGCCCGCTGGGCGAGCAAGAAGCGCTTGATGCGCTCCAACGTGGTGCCCGGGCTGTCGTATGCCTGTTCGATCAGGGCCAGCTCTTCGCGCTGGCTCTGGTTCAAGCGTCCCTTGACGGAGTACGCTTCGCGAAGCCTCTCCAAGGCGAGAATGAGGATCTTGGTGTCATGCTTGTACGACACGCTGGGGAAGGGAATGGGAGAGAACTTGCGGGACTCCAGCCAATGCACCGTGGTGGTGTAGATGGCGACGGCCTCTTCGGAAGAGACATACGGTCCGTCCTTCATGTGGTTGTGCTGACGTTCCTGCTCGGCCTTGAGCCACAGTCGGGTCAAGCGCCCCACGTTCTTCTTCGCCACGGTCTTGTCGACAGTGGCACCCCGGCGAATGCGCTCTCGGTTGTAATGGGCGACCGAGATCCACCAGTCTGCCTTGGCCTTGACGTAGCGCAGAATGATGTTCTCGATGGCGGCCGGCAGTCCCGGCACCTTCCAGGGGATGTTGCTCTTCCAGCACCGCCACGCCTCCGACAAGTGCTGGAGCACGGTGTTGACCTTGTTCTGCTTGATGCCCTCCGGCATCATGTCCATCAGGTCGGCCATGACGGAGGCGCGCAGCTCGAGATCGAAATGGGACTCCACGCGCTGCTTGGTGACCGTCTTGGCGACGCCCTTGCTGTGTCGACCTTCAAACTGACGCGATAACAAGTTGCCCAGCCACCGCTCCAGGAGAGGAATGATACCCCTCATGAAGAAAAGCCAAACCCGCCACGCCGGGGCCCAGAAGCCGCAGCCGGGACCCTTGCCCACGGGGCCGGCGTTGAAGCGATAGTAGATCAAGTGCTTCAGATCCTTGCAGGACCGGATCTGGTGCATCAGCTTGTACTTGTATCGGTACATACCGGTCAACTGCCCGACGTGATTGAAGGCATAGAGAATACCGTCGGCCAATTGGAAGGGATCGATGTTCCCGAGTCGGTACTGGACTTGGGCATCGACGATGAGCTTGGTCAGACGGAGGATTTCACGCATGAGATGGAACGCGTTTCCGAAGCGAGACTTTTTGCGTTCCTTTGTCGTCAGGGTCTTGACGGGCTTCAGGTTGAAGTTGTAATCGAGATGGAGGTACGTGAGGTTCTTGCGATGGATGAGAAGGTTGAGCATGTTGAAGCCCTGGCGGCAGACCTGCAATCCGGCTTCGACCCAGTCGATGGTGGTCTGCTGGAAAAACTTGGTCGGCTTCAGACTCCGCATGAGGTTTTGCTTCTTCTGGGACTTGGGCGACTTCTTGTGCAGCTCGTTGAGGACGTAGTTCTTCAACAGTTTCTGGTACGACACCCGAACCTTCACGGGTGGCCGGTCCGCCGGCGGATGCTCGAGGTACCAGTGTTTGATGAGAGGCACGTCTTGGGCGCGCACCATCTTGCCGGACCGATGATTGAAGGGGAACGGAGCCCACCAGAGTTCGATGGCGGCTGCGGTGTCATCGTCGAACAGCTCTTCGTCGGCGAGGAACGGCTCGACCTCGGCAGGAAGCTGGAAGGCGTATTCCTCGTCCTCTTCCATGTTGCCGGGGCCGAACAGGTCGTCTTCATGGCTGACGCTCAAGTTCTTGGGCGCCACGGCACGAGAGGAGATGGGGTTGATCCGGTGATCGAAGTGGAAAGCCGGAAGGTCGGGGTTGTCAGACCGCTTGAAGACGACCTGTGGGTACGAATGCCAGGCGAGGTGGACACTTCTCGGGAGCGAGTTGTAGAGGTACGGATAGGCGACGCGGTATTCGGTGCGGATGGGGTTGCGGAAGATGATGCGATCGATGGCGTTGAACTCGCCAAAATCCTCGTCGTTGGGGTCGACATCCTTGTAGAGGGGCTCGAAGCGCGGCCCGCCGGGCAGAGCCACATTCAGAGCCTTGCCGGTCAAGAAGCCCTTGAGGTCGAAGAGGTAGGAGTAGTTGGGGTCGACAACGTCGGAGATGAGAGGCCGACTGAGACGGAAGAGCGTGGCCATCTGGGGCAGGGTCAGATTCCAGGTCCGATAGCCGGGACCATTGACATGATCGGTATCCAGCAAGGCCCGGTGGTCGTAGAACCACTCGTACACGGCAGCGTCTTCATCTTCGTTGAGCTCCATCTGGATGGGTTCGGCAGGCTCGACATCCTCGAGGTTTTCGGACCAAGACAGCGGAGGTTCTTCGTCATCAAAGGGAGGGAAACGCATGCGCTTGAACAAGCGTCTGTCTGCTTTTTCCTTGCGCATAAAAGTCCACATCATGGCCCACTGCGCAAAGAAGACGGGTTCGATGACCCGCGGCACCTCGTTGACCAGCGTCAGGCAGCCGTTGACGTGGTAGAGCACCTTGACCTCTCTCGCCGACTCCCACGGCATGGGCATGTTCTCCAACAGTTTCAAAACCGCGTGTGGCATGAATTTCAGGGCGCCCAGATAGCTCCGCTTGTCGCTGGTGTACTTCTTCTGGGACACATCACCGATGTCCTTGACGATCTTGCGCAGATGCTCGGGCGGCATATCCGCCTTCTGGGTCTCGACGAAGCCGCCCTTCCGTCTCTCGCCGAAGCGGGCACGCTGATCTCGTAGCCATTCTGTCTTCTTCTGGGCAAACTTGGCGATATGAGGGTCGGATGGCGGGCGGTAGCCTGGGGGAGGTGGTGCTGGCGCTGCTGGTGGAGGAGGGAGTGACGATGATGGAGGTGGCGGGGGAGGGGGAGGGGGAGGACCCCAACCAGGAGGCGGAGGGGGAGGCGGAGGAAGCGAAGACATTTTCGACAGGAAGCTCTAGCGTGTCGTCGCTCGCAGCATCGAGATGATAGGCGTCTGAGCTTGATCAGTCGCGTCGCGACTTTTCAAGACGCGCAGGGGTCGAATTCAGTCGGTGGCAGTCGTTGGCAGTCGTTGGCAATTAAGTAGAGCTTGGAATTATGCTTGGTTCGATAATGGAAAGATGGCGATCTGCCATGCAAAATGCCGGCGATGACTGTGGCGACGAAACCTCCGTTCACGATATGATGTTGTCGATGAGGTCCTTTTGGAGGTTGAACGCATCATATTTTTTTTTTCTTCTGTCTGGATACGACGTCCAATCCAGGAGGGGCCTAACGCTTTCTGGACGAAGGCTCACGTGACTGTTTACGTGACTGTTTACGTGATTATTAACAAGCGTTGGACTTGGTGCTAAGGTACGAGTCAAAAGTGGAGGAAATGGGGCAGCGTGTTTTGCCACCCGGGAGCTTACGCAGTTTCCCTTTTTGTGGCGCTTTACCAGCTGACAGCCAGGTGATTTTCGCTAAGCCCCAAAAGACGAAAATAACCAAAATCCCCCACCAGAAAATCCAAAATCAAAATCTGCTGCAACGAAGTTTTGGCCCCTCCTTGGTTGAAACCCATCTCGCCTCGCCTTTCGAGCAACCCAAGCGATTCCATCGACGCAAGTCCACATAGTGACTGCGCCAACAAGTCGACACCCTTTACCGATTTAATAATTTAATTTACAGAAAGGGAAACAGTCGTCAATATGTCTTCCAGGTTCTTCCGCGGCGGTGACGACAGCTCGTCCGAGAGCTCGTCTGAGGAGGAGGAGCTCTACACTGACGAGGAGGAGGAAGAGAAGGCCAAGGCCGATTCCGATGAGGACGAAGATGAAGACGAAGATGAGTCGGAAGAATCATCCAGTGATGATGATGGAGAAGCCAAACCAGGTGCCTCGCGTTTCCTTCGCGATGCCTCATCAGAAAGCGAGGAAAGCGAAGACGAAGAGCGGGTGAAGGTCAAGAGCGCAAAGGATAAGCGCTTCGAGGAGATGGAGGCAACCATCAAGCTCATTGAGAATGGCCAGAAGAACGGAGACTGGGCGTCTATCTCGACAGGTGAGCACGCGTGCAACTTCTTTCCGGTCCTTGCTACTACAGACCGCTGCGAGAGCGAATAGACTAATGATTTTTTTCTTCTTTCCTCCCCAGAATTCGACAAGCTCAATCGACAGGTCGCCAAGATCCAGGATAACCAGAAAACTCCCAAGCAGTACATCAAGACGATTGCCGAATTGGAAGATTACATGAACGAGGCCGTGGCCAAGCAGAAGGTCACGCCCAAGAAGATGAATGCCACGGCCGCCCGCGGATTGAATGCGGTCAAGCAAAAGATCAAGAAAATCAACAAGGACTACCAGCCGCAAATCGAGGCGTACCGCGAGGACAACGACGGGTTCATGGAGTCGTCCGACGAGGAGGAGGTGGCGCCGAAGGCCAAGAAGACGGTGCGTATCGCCGACGACTTCGATCAACAGTTGGACGACGACATCGAGGGCTTTGCGACGGTAGGAAAGGGAGGAAAGACGCTCCAGTTCACGCCCGAGAGCATCTTCAAGCACCTCCGTACCATCCTCGAGACCCGCGGCAAGAAGAACACCGATCGCCAGGAGCAGATCAAGGTGATGGAGAAGCTCAACGAGATCGCCAACACACCGTACCAGAAGATTCGCGTGCTCCTTACGCTGATCTCGACCCGGTTTGACCTCGGAAGCGGCGGCGCCACGTCCATGCCGCTCGACCACTGGAAGGCGGCCGAGAAGGAAATGACTGCGCTGTTCGAGATCCTCGAGACCAACACCGAGTACGTCGTCGTCGAGAACGCCGAAGAGTGGGAGGACGACGAGAAGCCGCCCGCGCTGGAGAAGGACCAGAAGTACATCAAGGTGCCCGGCAGCATGGTGTCCTATGTGGAGCGGCTCGACGACGAGCTGACCCGATCGCTCCAAAACATCGATCCCCACACGTCCGAGTACATTGAGCGGCTAACGGACGAGGGTGCGCTGTACAACATTATTGTTCGGTGCATGTTGTACTACGAGTACCTTCATAAGCAGGGTGACCTTGACATTCCCCAGGAGAGCATCAACCGCATCATCACGCGGCGACTGGAGCATGTCTACTTTAAGGTATGAGCAGCCATGACCGTTAACCGGGACAAAACCATTCTATTTTGCATCTGCTAACCCTTTTTTTTTCCCTTCCAGCCCGCTCAAGTCATCAAGATCCTCGAGGACAACGCGTGGAAGTCTGTATCCCCCAAGGCCGAGTCGACCATCACCCCGCGCGCCCAGACGCCCGAGGCCGGCAATCTGGTCAATGTACTCTGCACGTACCTCTTCAGCCACGCCGAAGGCATCCTCCGAGCCCGCGCCATGTTGTGCCAGGTGTACTTTTTGGCGCTGCACAACGAGTACTACAAGGCTCGTGACATGCTGCTCATGTCTCACCTTCAGGAGAACATCCCCAACTTTGACGTCCTCTCCCAGATCCTGTACAACCGGACGCTCGTCCAGGTGGGTCTGTGCGCGTTCCGGCAGGGCCTCGTGTACGACGCGCAGACCACACTGCAGGAGATTTGTGGCAGCGGGCGGCAGAAGGAGCTCTTGGCGCAGGGAGTCATGATGCAGAGGTACAGCCAGGTGTCACCGGAGCAGGAGAGGCTCGAGAAGCAGCGGCAGCTGCCGTTCCACATGCACATCAACCTGGAGCTGTTGGAGTGCGTGTACCTCACGTGCAGCATGCTGCTGGAGATCCCGGTGCTGGCGCAGACCGGGTCGTCGCCGGACATCCGGAAGCGCAACATCAGCAAGACGTACCGGCGCATGCTGGAGTACCACGAGCGGCAGATCTTCACGGGCCCGCCGGAGAACACGCGCGACCACGTGATGCAGGCGTCCAAGGCGCTGGCGGCGGGCGACTGGAAGAAGTCGATCCAGTTCATCCACAACATCAAGATCTGGGAGCTCATGCCGCACGCCGAGGAGATCAAGACGATGCTCGCGAAGCAGATCCAGGAGGAAGGGCTGCGGACGTACCTGTTCACGTACGCGCCGTTCTACGACACGCTGGCGGTGGAGACGCTCAGCGGCATGTTCGAGCTGGAGGCGAGCAAGGTGATGGCGGTGGTGAGCAAGATGATCAGCCACGAGGAGCTGGCGGCGTCGCTGGACCAGGTGACGTCGACGGTGATCTTCCGCAAGGGCGTCGAGCTCAGCCGGCTGCAGAGCCTGGCGCTGACCATGTCGGACCGCGCCAGCTCGCTGATCGAGACCAACGAGCGGACGCTGGAGCAGCGGACGCAGGGGACGAGCAACGCGTTCGAGCGGCAGGGCGGGCGCGGGCGGGGCGGCGGCCGGGGAGGAGGCGGCTACAGGGGACGGGGCGGCGGCCGGGGCGGCGGCGGCCACATGCAGCGGCAGGCGGGAGGGACGCAGTTTACGGGCGGAGCGCTGGGAGCCGCGGTACGGGGCTGAACAGTGCAGTAGTGTTGTCTGTCTCACCAAAACGCGGGGGTTTTCCTGTTGTCCAGGATTCTTCTCTCTGTCTCTCTTTCCTTTTATTTTCCCTAGGTCTCTGGGGTTTCTGTGTGCATCAGGGTTCGGGGGGGGGGGTCACATTTCATCGGGGCGTGGGAGTGGCGGCCCGAGAGAATCGGAGGAATAGGCCCCCTCTTATGGGAAAAATGTCCTTTGGTATTTCTTTTGCTTTTGCCAGGTAGCTTCGTGGAATAGAGGCTCTCAGAATGCATCACGGTTGACGGACGTGTAGTCGTGAATCCTGAGTCTGCGTGAAAAAAGAAAGAGAAAAAGGAAAACACCTCCAAGTCCGTCTCAGTTGGGACGTCAACCAAAATAGGAACCTGCACGCACCCACAACCTCGCCTAGAATAGCCCGCCAACCCATGGTCATCACATGGGTAGCCGCCTCACCTCCTCCAACGTCCAGTACCTTCTCATATTCTCCGCCCCCAGCGTCTCCACCTCCTGATCAAGATGCCTCCACAGCACAGTCCCCCAAGAATCCATCAGCTCGCGAACCCGCGCCATGTCCAGCCCCTCCTCCTCCCCGGAGCGGCAAGCGCGGAGGTACGTCTCGAGGGCGTCCATGCCGCGGTGGATCTCGCGGTGCTGGCGCAGCAGCTCGGCGGCGGCGTCGTCGCTCTTCTCCCCGGTGCGGAATTGGGGCATCTTGCGGGCGAGCACGGGGAAGACGTAGGTCTCCTCGATGTCGTGGTGGGCTTTCAGCATCTGCAGGAAGTAGAGGCTTTGGTCGATGAAGGAGCGGAGGGCCTTGCCGTGGAGACGCGTGTTGGAGGTCGCGGTTGTGTGGAGGGTGGTCCAGGTTCTGCGGAAGTTGTCGTGCTGTGCCGGACGGAAGGGAAGTGAGTTAGGGGGGAGTCTGGGGGGG